CATGGTGGTGAAAGGCGCTGGACTCTTACATAACCTTCCATGGTTAGAGTCCCAGACATGATGGCTTGTTTTCTCTTTGCCTTTTTCTCTCTGTCTTTATCTGCTCAAATGAAAAAATAATAATAACAAATGGAATTAAATAAATAAATAAATAAATATTTTTAAAAGTTTAGTTTATATAATGAATTTTTTTCATGAAAATGGGATTATGCAAGAACCATAGCCCCAGAAGTCTTTATTCTTTTCTGATTCTGACTTTGATAAACATTGGAGGAAGTGCCAGAATGGCAGCAATTGGAGATTTTAACCTTTTTATCCTTGGCCTAACATACTTGAAGACTTAGTTTTTTGTTTGTTTGTTTGTTTTACCTTTTCTGGGGAAGTGAGGTTAGGAATAGGGAGGTTTGGGTAGATTTTTAGTCTCTAGCAAAGTCTGCTTAGACATAGTTCAGTAAGAAGACATCTGGGGTCAGCTGGTCGTGTGGTGGTTAAGATGGCTTGATCTCACATGGCTGTGTGGTTCAAGTTCTAGACCTAGTGGCTTGAAAAACATGCTGGGTGCGCGTGCATGTGTGCCCAGAATCCTGACAGGAGGGAGAGATGGAAGAGTAAGGATTGCAGTATGACCATTATGAGAGCGTTTTTACCACTTTCTCTTTCTCTCTCTGTCTCCTGTGAGTGCACACACCCTCTAGCAAATTAAAAAAGAAGGGAGGGCCAGCAGGTGGCATGGTGATTAAGGTGCCATGTACCCACATGGTGGAACACATTTCATGTTCTGGACCTGCCAGCTTGAAAATCATGCTGAGCATGTGTGCATGCATGCCCAGAATCCTAAAAGGAGAATGGAGGAGAAGGGATTGCGGTGTGGCTGTCTCTGTGTTTCCACACTTTTCCTCTCACTGTCCCTCTCTGTCTCTCTCTGGTGAGTGCACTTGTTCTATGGGGAAAAACATTAAAAAAAAAAAAAAGCCACCCCTGCATGTAGTGAAGTTTATCTTTGGCCTGTGTGTCTCAGGCATGTGCAACTGAATCGCGCAGAGTCTTGCAGGCTGGCAAGGGATGTTATGGCCCATGCTAACAGATGCAAAGACTTTGATGCTTTCCTGTTTTCACCTGAAAACTGTAAACATCAGGATTGCGATGGAACGTACTAACAATAAGCACACCTTTCACGTAGTGAAAGAGGTATGCAGTAGTGCAGAGGTGTGCAG